ATGTGAAAGGAGAATGTATGTATGTCTGAAGAAAATATGTGTATGTAAGAGAAGAATGTATGTATGTGTGAGAGAGAGTATAGTGGAAACGGAAGGCGTATAATGGAAACGGAAGGCAGGTCGGGCACGATCAGGGTCACCGGGACAGGTCATGATCAGCATGGCTGACGTAGATGAGGCGGCCGCATAAGTATTTCAGCAAGCTATTTGGATTTTTTTTTAAATTATCATCGTGAAAAGGTTACATGGCCTCGTCCCTTGAGCGAGTTGTGATTGAGGACACGGGCTCAGCCTCAGTCGAGTTGCTAGATACACGCATTATAAGCGTATATAAAAAAAAATTTTCCCGGAGTGTCTATTTACACTAAGTGCAAATAGCCTGCCTTGTTGATAGAGGCTATTTACAGTAGCTCCACCCACAAATGTGTTATAGGGATAGTCAACACTATAAAAAGACTCATATCATGGTCTATGTTAACAGCAGGTTCATGAGGCTGGTTCTTCAATTATGGAATCAGCCCTACAGCACATTTTCCTCAATAACGTATTCTGTCCTGTGTCACTTTTATTATATAATTCATTAACCTGCAACATACAACTCTCATTCTTTCATCTGGCCGATTAATATTGGATTTCTTTGGCAAGCAAAACCCCACTGAGGTCTCTCAATAATATGGGATCATGGTAAATGATTCACCTGCAGTCTTGCTGTTCTTCAAAATATGTCAGTCCACTTGCCCAGAAGTGAGACATTTAGTGGTTTGACACAACTAAATGCAGCATTGTTAGACCAGGAGGAAATGAAACAGTGGAATGATTCTGTTTCCATTGAGTTTCCACGCTCATTGTTACACAACTGTGCGGTGATATTTTGAGACGCATGCATAGATAACCAAAAAGGAAAAGGCTTGTGTGGTTCTATATCGCCGGCAGTTCTTCCTGTAGCACTACTTTGCAGCACCACACAGGAAAAAAGATGATAGCCATTCAGAAGTTAGAAATCAGATTTTTTTTGTTTATGAAAGAAGTCTCGCATGTTCACCAAGGCTGCATTTATTTGGACAAAAAAAAACTGTAAAAACTTTCTATTATTATTTTTTTTAAAAAACAGTTTTTCATTTTGATACATTTTAAAATGTAATTTATTCATTTAGTCATGAAAAGTTGAATTTTTAGCAGCTTTTACTCCCGTCTTCAGTGTCACATGATCCTTCAGAAATCATTTTAATATGCCGAGCTGCTGCTTGAGTAATTTTTTAAAAATTATTATCAGTTTTCAGTTGTGCTGATTAATATTTTTGCGGCAACTGTGATCATTTTTTTTCAGGATCCTTTAATTGATATAATTTTCTAAAGAAAAGCATTTATTTGTTCATTTATTTCTTAAATTGTTTAAATTTTGATCAGTTTGAATGTATTTTTTCTCAATAGAAGTATTAATTTCATAATTAATCATAAAAAAAAATGACTGTCCCCAAACTTTTGGACAATGGTATGTACACATATGTATATGTATGTGTGTGTGTGTGTGTGTGTGTGTGTGTGTGTGTGTGTGTGTATATATATGTGACCCTGGACCACAAAACCAGTCTTAAGCAGCACAGGGATATTTGTAGCAATAGCCAAAAATATATTGTATGGGTCAAAATTATCGTTTTTTCTTTTATGACAAAAATCATTAGGATATTAAGTAAAGATCATGTTCCATGAAGATATTTAGAAAATTTCCTACCGTAAATATATCAAAACTTTTTATTTTCTCAATATTTAGATTTTTTTTTTTGCACCCTCAGATTCCATATTTTCAAATAGTTGTATCTCAGCCACATATTGTCCGATCCTAACAACCATACCTCAATGGAAAGCTTATGTATAAATCTCAATTTCGAAAAATGGTCACTTAAGACTGGTTTTGTGATCCAGGGTCACATACATATATATATATCTTGCTTAGTTTTAATTCTTTGTATACGTTTTAGTTTTTTTTCCATAATCAAGTTATTTCTCTCTCAGTCTCTCTCTTTGTTTTTTTTGTTTTCTTCCAGCATGCAGTGCTTTATGTAGCAGAAGCAGCAGTGGTAGCTCAGGCTCAGTTCAGGCTGTTGTTCCGAAAACTGCGGTCACAAATTCACTGATGCATGGGGTGATGAAACTGGCCTCCCAGGTTGCCCCTGACAACAGCAGCATCCACAGTCTGGCTTTCTCACTGCTGGCCAAACTGGCCATCTCAAGGGACTGCAAAGAGGTACTGCTGAAGGTAACTCACTAATTCAGGGGAGGAAGAAATATAACCCTTTAAGACACTTCAGGCTATATAGTAAATATAGCTAAATAATTCTGCTCTCCAGCAAGAAATCCTTTTATGACTCCTTTAGTTGCATATCCAATAGATATCATAGAGAAGTTTTAACAAAACCTTCTTTCTTGCTGTTTTCCCTAGAGTAACTTCCTGCAGCACATCCTGTCTCTCCCCATGCCTAAGGCAGGTGGTCAAAGCGGCAGTCCGGCGGCGGAGCCTCTGTCCCTCTGGCTCAAGCTGTTGCTGAACGTGTCGTTCGGAGAGGACAGACAGCAGATGATCCTCAGGCTCAGGGGGGCTTTGGAGCTGCTGGTGGGACTGGCCCAATCCAAACACTCCAGCTCTAAACCCCACCATCCTGCTCATTCTCCACAACATCTGCTTCTGTTCCGCTAACAAGCCCAAAGTCTTAGTCAATGGTATGCGTGCTGGATTTACAGGGCTTCACATGTTAATGGTTGATCAACATGCTTCTTTTTGAGTGGATGATGCCAATGCCAATATTTAATAAGGCTCAGCAGGCATGGTTAACAAAATAGCCAAATGTCGTTTGATAATTATTTGGCATGGCTGATATATTGACCTATTCCTGCCAAAAATAATAATAATAATTTTTATATTTATATGTTTTATTTAATGTTTTGTTTTTTGGTGGGTCTATGATGTAGACTCTAGTCTGTTAAGATCAATTTGACACTGCCAGTGTAAAAATGAACCACTACACACATGTAAGTCTTGGTACACACAAACACTGAAATCCGGATGTGTCATAACAGCCGCAATGAAGTGATAATGCTTTTACACATCAAACCAACATTTCCACTCAATGCCTTTTTATAGAAAGTGAAGGAAATAAGATGTTTGTCTTAACCTGATGTGAATGTGCACATGAAACCGCAAATACACACTACCAATAAATGTCATTTTTATTACTTATAAAATCATTAATATAGCAATTATATATAAAATTACACATAATGAAAATGAAGATATGTATGTATATGTCTATGTATGTATGTATATATATATATATATATATATATATACTGTATATACATACATAGACATATACTACTAGAATCAAGCAATAGTTCTTTGGCAGCGAAACAAGACTCTATTCATGATCATTTTATAAACACAAATGACATGCGAGTCTGTCATCTCCCACGTGTGATCCAGCTCACCCTTTATCTTCCCATTCTGCATATCTCCTCTTACAAAGGCAAAGGCCACTTTGAAGTGTCCTTCCATCAGACTGAAAGTTGAAGAGGCATACATGTCTGGCAGGAAAGGTGGGAATATATTCAGTTTGATCATTGTAGTGCCTCTCATTTTTACTCTCTGATGGTACTACATCAGTAGATGCATCAGGAATGGATCTTTCCTGAGAATTCGAGGTAATTGTCTGTTTGTTTGTTCATATAGATGAAGAGCTGACAAGTGACAAACCCCTGAATGTCTATCTTCTGAAGTGCCTGAGAAATCTCACACACATCTTCAGCTCCTAAGTGCCCCTCTGATGATGGAGATCATGAAAGTCACCGAATAATGTGAACATTTATTTATGTTTTGCTGAAATATGGAATATTTTTGTTTAATAGTTTTTGTATATTTTTGTTTTGTAGCAAATCAATAAATGAACTGGTTTTACAATAGATGTCTCTCCATTCTCCAATTGTCAAAAATGATCACATGCACTGTAAAACACACTGTATTTTGGGGTGTACCATCACTTTATGGATGAATTACATAAGGTCATGATTTTTGCTTTCCTTTGTATTTTTTATTTTATCATAGGGGAATTCAGAGATTGGTTTTAAATCTGCTCTTTCAGTTTCAGGTGTGTGTGGGCTAGAATTCAGCCCTTTCTAGTTAGGTGAACTTAACACCTCCTCTCTAATCGTGTTTATCTGCTGGTTGAGGATGTGACTGAAGAGTCTTGCAGCTGAACACTGAAAGTGCTGTGGTCGCCTCAGTCCTCGTCAATGCTGTATTCATTTTGTCTCCGAGAAGCAAGATGGTGGCAGTACAAAAGGATTACTGGTACTTCTTGGTACTCATGATGCAGCTCTGTTTTCTCAAAGGTAATGTTTGTAGCAAAGGTAGACACTTTTGCTTATAAAAAAACATTTGAACTGTAGCACATTGTTCTTTATTGGTAATTTATGTATCAAAGGACGCAAGCATGAATGGCTGTTCTCTAGCATGATAAACACTGTTCCTGTTTACAAATGAACTGAATTGACTTTCAATGCTGATAGAGTGAATATATAAATGTTTATGATGTCTATAGATGTTTAAAGAAGAAAAAGTAATAATAACTGATATAGATTTGTTATAATCCTTTTAGGAAAGGAAAGGAGAATATGTGGTTACATTGAAAGTAACTGGTTTGTACTTGTGGCTGTATCATTTTTGTTAGTTTAGTTGTATAAGGGTACAAAATACAGTTTACTAACCATTAATGTTTAGCTTTATAAGGTTCTTCTGCTGCAATTTCAATAAACAAGGTGCATGGTGACAGAAGCCACACCAGCTTGTATTTTGTAGGGCTGGGTTTTGACACAAATTTCACAATTTGATTCGATTATCCTTCACAAGCTTGCTATTCGATTCGATTAAATAGATTATTTTGGATGTATATCAGGTACAGGGCATGACAAATTTTCTCAAGGAAAAAAAAACCTCAACTAATGCTGTAAAATATACCTGAGAGGTGATAAATATGGAAGGCTGAAATTTGCTGATTTATATACAAACTTAAAATATACTCAAAGTTTTTGTAACATTAAAATTATAATACTAATTTTAACTTTAATTATATTTCTACTCCAATTAATTTTTTTAAATATAAACATTTAAATGGTGGTTGTCACAAAAACTTGAATTTATTCAAACAAATTAAATATTGAATAACAGTTTAAAATTCGATAAGATAATGCGTTATATAGTGCAATTTTAGCAACATGCTCCTCTCTAGAGTTAATTTTTCTAACCGAATAAAGAGTTCAACGAATGTTTTTCTGTGGTAAATGTTAATACGTGACATTATTTACAAGCCATTGTCATCTTTCCACGGTTGAAACACTGATTGAGTGATTACATGAGACGGGATAAGTTGTACTCTTTCTTGTAACATGGCTTCAGATGTTCATTCATGTTTATTTCGTGCTGTAACCGCTATTAAAGTGGAGTAGACGATCAGTTTGCGCTGCCGCTTCTACCCGAGGCGCTACTACAGCGATCGGTCTTGTTTGTTTGTTTGTTTGTTTATTTGACAAAAAAAAGTAGTGAATACACTCTATTCGTCAAGGATAACACAATAAAGTTTAAAACAAAACTTATTTCCATTGTGGTCCTTGATGTAAAGCACAAACTTCACTCCCGGTAACAGATTCACTGGCACTGCATTATAAATACAAAAATTACAATAAAATTCCACATCTACAAAAATGTACAGTCACAAATAACCACGTACGTAATACAAATTCATCAACAAAACAACCTACTTAAGAACAAACTTTTAGCTTTTAAACTAAAACTAACCATATTTGAAATACCTTTAATGTCCAGAGGTAACTTATTCCACAAAAGTGCCCCAGAATATCTAAAAGACCTACGACCATACATAGTTTTAAAACGATATAATGTAATATCCATGAGACTTTGCCTAGTTTTGTAACAATGTTGCTCATTTACCCTAGGAAAAAATACATTAAAATATGAAGGAGCTCTGTTATTGATAATCTTATGTACCATTTTTAATTTAATATGTTCGAATCTGCTTACTATAGGTAACCAATCAAGACACTTAAAGTGGGAAACCTCCACATGTGTAAAACGACTAAACCCTAAAACTAACCTTATCAATTTATTCTGAGATTTTTGTAACTTATCCAACCAACCACAAGACAAATCAGACATCCAAGAAATACATGCATATTCGAAATGACATGACACTAAACATGATGCAAGTAATTTTATAATCTGTTTATCAAGGAAACTAACATGTCTGGCAAGAAATTGTGTCCTAGCATTAACCTTGCCCAGAACTTTCGTAGCCATACTTACACCACTTAAATCGTTGTCAAGGACACATCCAAGATAATTAACAGAAGTTCTATTTGATATTAAACAATCCCCGACCTTAACAGACATCTTAGAAACCTTATTCAAATTATTTTTAGACCCAAATAATATGGATTCCGTTTTACCTAAATGCAACATCAATTTGTTTTCAGAGAGCCAGTCTCTTACCTTACAAAGCTCCTTACCTAAATGCGCTTGTATCCTACCAACATCCTTATCTGAAATTACTAAAGCAGAATCATCAGCATATAAAAACAAATTACAATCACAAACTGCTTGCATGTCATTAATATATAAAAGAAACAAAAGAGGGCCTAAAACACTTCCCTGAGGGACTCCATTTTCAACAAACGTTTCCTCAGAAAGAACCCCATCAATTTCTACTCTCTGAACTCTCCCAGTTAAATAAGAATTCAACCAGGCTACACTTTACTTGAAAAGCCCATGACACTTAACTTATCTAAAAGTATTGAATTATTAGTATTGAGTAATTAATATTGAATGATTTACAGTGTCAAACGCTTTCTGGAGATCTAAAAGTACCATACCACACATTTTACCTTCATCAATCTGCCTTCTTATAAACTCTGTTAAATAAATTAAAGAAGTATCAGTCGAATAAGATTTCCTAAAACCTGACTGAAAATCATAAATTAAACTATTCTTACTTAAATACTCATACATCTGTTTATACACAATTTTTTCAAAAATTTTTGAGGCCACATTAAGAATGGAGATTGGACGATAGTTTCCAGGATCGTATCTGTTACCTTTTTTGAATAACGGAATAATTTTAGCTAACTTCATATCAGATGGAAATATACAATTTTCCAAGGAAAGATTAACAATAAATGTAATAGTTGGAGCTATAATATCCGCAGCATCTCTTAAGAATCTAGCTGGAATATCGTCCAGCCCAGTTGACTTGGACACCTGAAGCTCTTCTAGCATTTTAGTAATTTGATTTACATTAACTTTAGCAAAAGAAAAACTATTTGGCAACACCCCTTGTTTTAAATAAAATCTCTTAACAAAATCAATCCCATAATTTCCTTTGGACAGAGGAAGCTTATCAACTAGACTATTAGCAATTAATGAAAAGAATGAATTAAATTTATTAGCGACTTTATTTTTATCAAATTCTATCTTGCCATCAATATCTAGACCTACCTTAGATACAGAAAATTTCGATTTACCAATTGAATGGAACCTATTTAACACCTTCCACAGAGATTTAGGATCTTCTTTGTTTTCTTGAATTTGTTCCTTAATAAAATTACGTTTTGCCTCCTTTATATTTTTCTGTCCTAAGTTTCTAAGTGCTTTAAATTTTAAATAGTCTTCCTGGTTCTTAGTTCTTCTATAAATCGAGAGAGCCCTATTCCTATTTTTTTATATTTCCAATATTTTCTGATCCATCCAAGGACTAGCTCTTTGCTTAACTCTCACCTGTCTAAAGGGGGAAATTTTGTCCACTACTTTAAGAAATAAAACTTTAAAACTTTTCCAAGCATCGTCAACTATTGAGATATTTTGAATATCATTCCAATCATTAAAATTAATATCCGATCTAATAAAAATGCAAACACCTCCTCCTTGTCTATTGCGATCCTTCCTAATAACATTATAATTATCTACTTTTATTTCACTATTAGTTACAGATGAGTCTAACCATGTTTCTGTTAAGCAAAAAATACCCACTTTACAATTCTTAAGTAAGGACCTTATTTCATCGATCTTAGGTAACAAACTCCTTATATTTAAGTGCACAAAATGTAAACCTTTTGTGTTAAAATAGTCCCCAAGCAAAGCGGCAGAGCCTCTTGATACTGGAAGAGTCTCTTCATCAACTAAGGTCTCATCTTGCTCTGCGCCTTTCTGGTCCACGACCACGACACGTCCTCCCCGGCAAACTGTCCTCTCCAAACTGGACCTCGCAGCCGCCTCGTCGCCCATCACGACCACACCATTATCCATGAAAAGGTGGGATATATTATTAGCCATGCTGTTAATATTTGTAGCCCCGTCACTGCATGACACTCGTACCTGTACAACAGCGGAATTCCGTTCAGCCAAGTACGATCCGGATTCCAAAGCTCGCCCTTTGTTAAAACCGGGACAAACTTCCCCATTAGGACCTGGGCAAGGGTGAATGTCGCCTGACAATAACAGGCATAGGATAATAATGAATTTTCGGACGTTGGAGTGGTGTTTTGAGATCGAGGGCCTGGACGAATGTAAATGTAATAGGGAAAAAATTATATTTCGCCCGTAACCAATAGATATCACGTCGCATCTTTCTTCCGAAAAAACATTAAAGCATCGCTCATCATCAGAGAAAGTTTCGCTTGATGGGCACAAATTACAAACAATCATAAACACCAAAACCGAAAACACAATGCCGTGTCCACCTGGTGCCATGTTACCGGGTCACGTGAACACAAATGAAGATCTGCCCTTTATTTTACCCACTTATTACATGTGTGGCACTTTTAAAAAATGTACAACTTCACGTAAATTTGCCAAAATAACTCAACACACAAGTCATTAATGTCTAAACCGCTGGCCACAAAAGTGAGTACACCCCTAAGTTCCTAAGTTA